AACATGTTTAAATCTGTATCACAATGCATATAATCAATAACCAGTTTCACAACTGTTATAGTTTTCGTTAAGACGTTTACCTGGGATAGTGTGGATGACTTTCAACTTTCTCACTCATGATATATTTCTGTCTGAGTTTGGTTTGTACAGCACATTAAAAGCGCACCCATCGACTTCTTTCCCCAGTAACCCGTAGGGATTCCAGGAAAGTCTGTACGTCTATGCATGTCAGTGCCCATCTATCTGCCAAACATCTGTTCTAACCGTAATTGATCTGATGGTCATGCTAAGTCACATGGTTGATTACAAGGGATCGTATTGCTCTGATCGAGTCTCATAATGGTTTTATTGGGCTGTCTTATCCTGAGTTAGTTATTTACAGATCACCTTTATTTAGCTGGAATATTGCTAAGAGTGACGTAAAACAAGCAACCAACAAGTCTTAAGGTGGGGATCCCATGGGCATGTGTTCCATGTGTTGTATTTTTGTGAGAGTGAAGCACAATTTTATTAAAGTTTTATTAACAATTTCATAAACTATAATAATATTAATATTAAAATTCATCATCACTTGCCAAGTTTATGAAAATGTCCCCATTTTGGAGATGTCACATATAAACAAGGATTCGAACTAAGTTTGATCGTCTTTGACACTGAGGTTTATCCCCACTTTGCCAGCAAACTGCAGAAGATTAACAGTGAGTGAGTGAGCATCGTTTCTATGTTTATACAAGAAAAGATGTTATGCCAAAACGCTCACAGTAGTTACTGAGTAAACTCACGACCTGTCATGACCTGGTTGAGTGACTTCCTCCAATCAACGTGAAAGGATTACCCACAGAGAAAGAAAGGATTAAAGTCACCAATAAATCTACGTGGTATAGGTACTCACAACCTCTAATAATAAACTGTTACGTTTGGTATCCCCAGCAATACTCACTATGGTCATTGGGCAAATGTAAAAATCACAAACCCTAACGATTCTGTCTACATGGTCACACCCGGTGATTGTGAAGATCTCAAATTCTATCAACAGTCAGACAGCATGGCTGTTCATATTCATTTACAACATCCTCTTATAATTAGTATAAAAGTGTCCCACACAAAACCTTCTTTTATTTATTCTTTCAAAATACAAAACAGAAAGTGAGGTGTGGGGAAATGGGACATATTCCTACGTGAAATAATGAGTCATTAGTAGTGGTGACGGCTATATCATAATTGTACTGTCGAAAGCATACATTTGGCGAACGAAAAACGTTATATTTGCAATCAAATGGAATGACTCGTGTGGGCAAATGAATATGTTCGCAATCCACAAACAATAATTTTATTAATGGCGAACATTTACCAACCCGCGACAATCGTGTCAACACGGGGGTTCCCCTAGCAATAAAATTAGCATCTAAATTCACTACTGTTCTACTGTCGGCTAGCCACAGTGGCTAGACGGGACCCTAGTGGAATGGTTCATACCATAAAAGTCTAACAACCGAACACTAATTAAGACGGACCGACCTTGTATTTACGGTCTGGTGAACACAGCTCAATGGCCGCTCTTTAACTCAAATTTCACATCTCACTGTTTTGTTTTATCTCACTATTCATTTGATAATTTTGTCAACTTCAACTGGAACCCGGTCCCGTGCTCACCCCGTGTGCAACCCGTTGAGCACCCGTGTCACATGCATGTTACACGCGTTCTCAACGCGTGTTAGGGAAATGAACTTTTAGGCAGTAGTGTACATGTATGTGTCATATTGTACTATAAAACTGACTGGTTCTTACATCTGATGTATCAGATTTGAAAATGGACCGGCAGTGAACGAGTATGAGACACTTCAGGCAGTAAAATTGACCTGAACTCTGTAAATATGAGACACACAAAGTAATAACATGGAACTGAACTGTGCAAATATAAGATACATAGGGTAGTAACATGGAACTGGACTGTGCAAATATGAGACACATAAGGTAATACCATGGAACTGAACTGTGCAAATATGAGACACATAAGGTAATAACATGGAACTGAACTGTGCAAATATGATACACATAGGGTAGTAACATGGAACTGAACTGTGCAAATATGAGACACATAAGGTAATAACATGGAACTGAACTGTGCAAATATGAGACACATAAGGCAATAACATGGAACTGAACTGTGCAAATATGAGACACATAAGGTAATAACATGGAACTGAACTGTGCAAATATGAGACACATAAGGTAATAACATGGAACTGAACTGTGCAAATATGAGACACATAGGGTAGTAACATGGAACTGAACTGTGCAAATATGAGACACATAAGGTAGCAGCATGGAACTGGACTGTGCAAATATAAGACACATAAGGTAGCAGCATGGAACTGAACTGTGCAAATATGAGACACATAAGGTAGTAACATGGAACTGAACTGTGCAAATATGAGACACATAAGGTAGTAACTTGGAACTGTACTGTGCAAATATGAGACACATAAGGTAGCAGCATGGAACTGAACTGTGCAAATATGAGACACATAAGGTAGCAGCATGGAACTGAACTGTGCAAATATGAGACACATAGGGTAGTAACATGGAACTGGACTATGCAAATATGAGACACATAAGGTAGTAACATGGAACTGAACTGTGCAAATATGAGACACATAAGGTAGCAGCATGGAACTGAACTATGCAAATATGAGACACATAAGGTAGCAGCATGGAACTGGACTGTGCAAATATGAGACACATAAGGTAGTAACATGGGACTATAGACTGTGCAAATATGAGACACATAAGGTAGCAGCATGGAACTGAACTATGCAAATATGAGACACATAAGGTAGCAGCATGGAACTGGACTGTGCAAATATGAGACACATAAGGTAGTAACATGGAACTGAACTGTGCAAATTAAGACACATCAGGTAGTAAAATGGATCACGGCTGTCCAAAAAATACATGCGTCGAGTAGCAAAAAGGTCTGACATGTGCAAAGATTTGTTAGACTCATAAAGTTATAATCATATTTTAGTTGTGTTCATTGTAATTCCTGCATTCTGATTAGCTATCACCTATTATTGCATTCATTTCCCAATGAATGTAAAAAGATTAAGAATCCAAAGATTAGAGTTAGAAAGATTAGAAGATTAGAAAATTCCCTTTCCGTTTACCTGTATCATTGTGCACAGGTCATTTTGCATAATTCATGCAGATTCACTGTCCAAACTACCCTTTGAGACCGAAGGCCAAGAAAGAATGAAACAGCAAACGGGCAGGCTCGCTCGCCTGTTTTTTTTCTCGCTCACCTCAGTACCACAAATGTCATGTCTTCGGGTTTCCTTTCCAATCCGCATTTCTCCAAATGTGTCTTTCCGTTCTCAGGGAACTAGTGTTTGAATCTGTTTGGAACTGACCATGTCATTTGAAACAGCCGCCTAGCTTCTCCCAGATATATTTTTTCCGGTTCGTAACAGAATGACTGTTGCAGTTCCCTTCGCCCCTCGGCCTGATTTGCAGCTCCTACGCGGATTCACACAATTTGCACATCGTTGTATCGATTCATACTTCAATGAACCGAAAAAGGTCCATTGTCAATTTTAAAGTAAAATGGACCTGTTCGGTGCCAACTTCAGACACATCAGGAGGAAGACAAAAACATTAACGGTGCAAACGTTAGACCTCACATAGTGAGTGAGTGAGTGAGTTTGATTTTAAGCCACTTTTAGCAATATTCACGGCAGGGGACACCAGAAATGGGCGACACATTGTACCCAATCGAACCCGGGTCTTCGGCGTGACGAGCGAACGCTTTAACCACTAGGCTACACAACCGCCCCAGACATCACACAGACATATTTGTCTGAACGTTGCACAACCATCCAATGTGAAAGGGGTGGTCAGGTAGCCTAGTGGTTAAAGCGTTACCTCGTCGCGTCGAAGACCCGGGTTCGATTCCCGACATGGGTACAATGTGTGAAGCCCATTTCTGGTGTCCCCCGCCGTGATATTGCTGGAATATTGCTAAAAGCGGCGTAAAACCATACTCACTCACTCACTCACTACATGTGAAACATCGTATATGAGATCACGGTAAGAGTAAGTCTGAACCGTGCAAATCAGTGCGTGTCACACATGCCTGCATAATATTCAAAACCAACAGTGTTGGAGATTCAACTTCACATGCGTGTATGTCTGACTTATTAAAGACATGCATCTCTGGTCAGCCGGGCATGACATGAGCTTGGCTTACAAGTCTCTCAATACACTGATATATTTATTGCAGTAAAATCGCAGTGATGTATCATGTATATTCTGATGACTCACTGAACTGGTTCACCGAGCGAATTGTAAGATGTAATGTGAATAAGGATCACATGCCCAAGGGTAAGTGTTTTCACAGACCATGCGAGATGGTTGAGCTAACACAGGTATTGAGAAATACGTAAGGAATAAATATGTTTGTTTCAGAGATATGTGATTCAGACACGAAAATAAAGAAGAAGAGTGCCATTCAATAAATACAGTAGACTACGGTTATAGCTAACTCGAGTGGACTCCAATTTTGGTTTGTAATAACCGTAGTTTGTTATAGGCATACACACAGCATATATACAATAAATGGTCGGGACTTAAAATAAGTTCGTTATAAGCGTGTTCGTTATAAACGTAGTTTACTTTACTTATATTAATGACCGAAATTGCGGCATCGAGGTTGTCGCCATGCAGGTTGTTGCATATCTGAATGTGTATGCATTAGGACAATGACACAAGAGACTACTCCCAATAAAAGATAGCCAAGGGACAGGTGAAGAAGGAATTTCAGCCAGCACACCAGAGTAGTGAAAACCGCTGTCATGAGTAGTGAAATCGGGTTATTTAAAAACGTGAATCGACGTATAACTCATATGTCTCCTTTTCTGCAGTCGTGTAATGAAAGAGAAAGTAGGTCGGTGAGAAAACGCTTTGGCCTCGTCGCTTCTTGGAAATAGAGAGGCGCCGTAAGCGAAACGCAGTACCTGGTCGTGCGAGCTGTTAGTCTGCAGAGTGGGTAATGTCAACACTGCAGCTGTGTTCGAATCATTGATTTTGGGAGCCAGTCAGTGAAATACCTCGACGTACGTAACGTCCCTGTTGTGACATATGCAATCAACATACATTCATTGTGATTAATTCCTGGAGTTATGAGAATATACGACACTTTGGGATACAATGTAATCATCAATATAAGCTTACATGCAGATGTAGATTAGAAATATGCTCACAATGGACACATATAATCCCCAGACAATGAGTGAACCAGAATCAACGTTGCTGCCTTTGGACACAACGTCACCGTCATCCCCGTCACGTCAACGACGCCGCCCGGGAGTTTTATTCTATACTGTCATCACTGTGTCCCTTACTGCAAACGTTCTTCTTGTTGTCGCGGTCACCGTCCAGACAATGATGGCGTCACGTGACTCGCACAAGGTGAGTGTAGAGGGATTCTCAAATTCGCTTAGCCACGTGGACACCGCCGCTTAAGTCTGTTTCACCTGTGACCACCTGGGCCCGCTGATCGAATCCAAGGACACTCTCTATGACGTCATACGACTCTCTTCTGGTCACACGTTTTGTTGTCAGAGACAGAATAATGACGTCACCAAGCTTTTCAGAAAGGTAATTATCTTTAACTAGAAATCTGTTTACAATGTTTAATAGCATTGCGTTTAAATATTTAGAGCAAATGCACAAAGCATGTCATGTGTGTAGAACTCATTGACTCCTGAAATTGAATAATTATGGGATACAATGACTGCAGGTTAACATATGTGGTATAGTTGTCTGTCTGTTTATTTATTGTTTAACGACGCACTCAGCAATATTCCAGCTATATGACGTCGGTCTGTAAATGATCGAGTTTGGAACAGACAATCTAGTGCATCAACCAAGTCAGCGAGCCTGTCCACCCGATCCCGAATTCGAAGACTCACCTCTTTCTACAAGCATAGTCGCCTTTTACGGCAAGCAGGGATGCTGGAGACTCAAGCCACTCTCGGATCCATTTATGTTATAAGAAAGGCGACAAAGCGAGTTCATTGTACGATTCCGACTGTACAATGATCATTGGTTTAGGAATCACTACTGCACAGTGATGGTACCATGTGTTCGCGAAAAGATAAGGGTGTCCTACTCCACCGATGGCAACATGTTATTTTATCTGAACAAAATGTACTTTAATGTACTTTAAATTAGCCTGCTTTATTGTTGTGGTGATGAGAATAATGCTTTGTTTGCATCTGTGATATATTGACAATGACTACACGATGTGTGGAGCTAAGTAAGCAATGCTCTCGTGTGTCTTCATATTCACGTGGGGCGGTCGGGTAGCCTAGTGGTTAAAGCGTTCGCTCGTCACGCCGAAGACCCGAGTTCGAGTCCCGACATGGGTACGATTGTGAAGCCCATTTCTGGTGTCCCTCGCCGTGATATTGCTGGAATATTGCTAAAAGCGGCGTAAAACCATACTCACTCACTCATATTCATGTGCGACTGCTGCCAATAACGGACTTGGGTTCCTTGAAATCTTATTCATGTCTGTTCCCCGAACACAGCAATAATTTTACACCACGTGATTGCACAGCTTGGATGGATCAATGTTATTGAGCAACGCGAGACACACAAGAGTGTGCCCGATTCACGCGTGTCTGTGTGGACACATTTATATCATTTTGGAAAATGGGTGTTTTTGTCTGTTTCTTGAACAATGCCATGCTGATTAATGGAGGGGTATGGGTGGGGCATTGTTGTAATCGAACCCATGTTTTCGGCGAACAACGAAACCGCGAAACTGCCTGTCACCCGCGAACAGCTGTAGTACTGTGGTAGTCGTAGTAGTAGTATAGCTTTAGCTAAAGCAGTAATAGAAGCAGTTGTAGTAGTTATTAATAGTAGTAGTTGTAGTAGTATTAGTATTAGTAGTATTAGTGATAGTAGTAGTATAGTAGTAGATAAAGCAGTAGCAGTAGTGGTAGTAGTAGAAGAAGTAGTAGTAGTAGTAGTTGTTGTAGTAGTAGTATAGCAGTAGATAAAGCAGTGGTAGAAGTGGTAGAAGTAGTAGTAACGGTAGTAGTTTTTAGAGTAGTAGTAGTAGTAGTAGTAGTAGTAGTAGTAGTAATAGTAGTAGTTGTTGTAGTAGTAGTATAGCAGTAGATAAAGCAGTGGTAGTAGAAGTAGTATTGGTAGTAGTAGTAGTATTGGTAGTAGTAGTAGTAGTAGTAGTAGTAGTAGTAACGGTAGTAGTATTTAGAGTAGTAGTAGTATTGGTAGTAGTAGTAGCAACAGTCGTAGTATTTAGAGGAGGAGTAGTAGTAGTAATAATAATAGTAGTAGTAGTTGTTGTAGTAGTAGCTGTTGAAGTAGTAGTATTATTAGTAATGGTGGAAGTTGTAGTAGCAGTTGTTTAATCATCAGTAGTAGTTGAAGTAGAAGTAGGAGTATTATAAGTACTAGTAGTAGCTGTAATAGCAGTAGTTACAGTAGTAGTAGCGGTAGCTAAATCAGCAGTTGTAGTAGTTGAAGGAGAAGTAGTAGTAGTTGAAGTAGTAGCAGTATTATTAGTAGTAGCTGTAATAGCAGTAGTTACAGTGGTAGCAGTAGTAGTTGAAGTAGTAGTAGTTGAAAAAGTAATAGAAGTAGTAATAGTAGTAGTAGTGGTAGTAGTAGTGATAGCAGTAGTAATAATAGTAGCAGTAGTAGTAGTAGCAGTAGTAGTAGCTGTAGTAACAGTCGTAGTAGTTACAGTAGTAACAGTAGCAGCTGTGGTAATAATAATAATAGTAGTAGTAGTAGTTGTTGTAGTAATAGTAGTTATAGTTGTAGTAGTAGTAGTAGTAGCTGTAGTAGTAGTAGTAGTAGTAGTAGTAGTAGTAGTAGTAGTAGTAGTAGATGTAGTAGTAGTAGTAGTAGTAGTAGTAGTTGTAGTAGTAGCAGTAGTAGTCGTTGTGGTAGTTGTAGTAGTAGTAGTAGTAGTTGTAGTAGTAGTAGTAGTAGCAGTAGTAGTCGTTGTGGTAGTAGCAGCTGTAATACATCGAGTAAAGTCAATTGTATAACAATTTCAAATCTAACTGTGACCCAGTTTCATTTTTTTTCACGTGATGTTTGTAAACACACACAGTGACACACTTTGACTCGAATTCAGAAACATCAGCCGCGTATCACATGGAGCCTTAACAAAGCAAGGCTGTGTTTACACTCTACCTAAACATCTGTGTCAAGGCCAGGTGACCTGGTCGTCAGTCAGCTTCAATTATATACGCGCTACTTCCAGATCCCTCTTATCAAACTCCTGCCAACATGACGCATCAGAGCATGATACATGTGCACAGACACTGTAGTGCGAACAAGGTGTTAATGATTATTGAGTAACATGCGCCATGATCCAGTTGTGATGTAAGCAGGACGTTTTACCTTGATATCTTTTTCAGGTCACACTGCGTTGACTGACACTTAAAAAAGTACTCATGGAAATGAAAAAAACTGTTACCTGGATTTAATAATCGACACAAAGCATTACGTAGATGTAAATACGAAATAACAAAACAACTGGAAGAGTACTAGTCTAAATTTGCTAGTTTTATCTCAGTGCTCAATACAAAATGTACTTTACAGGAGGTATTGTGTAGGCACTTTCAACATTAAAAAATAAAACTAAGTCCAAATTGACATGGCAAAAACAGACTATAGGCATTATACAAATTAGCCTGGAAAAAAGTTATCAAAACAACAATAAAAATAACAGCTATGTTTATGTACATAATAATAATGACATGTAATTTGTTGTTTGAGAAGAGAATATGTTACTTTTACGTTCTGATATTTTGACGATAATTCACTATCCCACAATGCCACTCACAAACACTAACCACTGACAAATCACATGCACGTGGGTTTCAAGCCCCTGTTTTCACCTGTCGTCAAGGTCATGGACATTCACCTTGATCTACTAACACCTGGTTAACCGGAGTGGTTTATGTGAATGAATCACCAAACGCAGGTTGATTTGTTGATGCCAGTTGTTTTAATACAAAATAAAACGGCCCTGTGAAAATAAATACACAGAGTTACAATATGCACAATACGTACACATACAAATAAATCATTACATTTTAACTTATTGACAAACATTAGAATCTTAAATATGATTATATACATTGTTATGATCAATCATAGTTAGCATGATTAGTTTTGTCTTACTGTACTGTAAATATTACAGGAGATTTCTCATATAATAAATTGACAAACATAGTTTATCAATAATAGGTGAATGATGATAAATGCATTAATACATAACACACAATTAAAGTACATATCACTATAAATACATACAAAATATAAATGTCCTCACCAGGTGTATGGCACTGTGCCCTATGATGTCACAACATCAGACATTTGCTTTACAGGGACACACCTGAACATAAATATATATAACATAATTACAGTGTAACATATTACATCAATATGTTTACATCCTTAGGTATATACAATAACCCTAAAATATATATTCTAATCACTCACCTCATCATACAGACATACAGACATACATTCATACATGTGCAGCTAGGTGCAGAACTTTAATTTACAGGTAAATAGCTCCAGTCTATCAGTAAATGTACTCATTATGCTTAGTTACACAATAAGTTAAGTAATATCAACATGAAAATGCTGGTTAAGATTATCTATTATAAACATACTTACATAAGGTATTTAAGCAAATTTAGCCTAACTACATTTACCTGAATACGATGACTGATATGGTATATATTTATCACACCTAACAATATAAGTACTATTAAAAGAAGTTAAGAAACCATACATATGCACCTTAACAAACTCTTCAAAGCACTAAATAAGAACACATAAATATACAATTCAACCAAACTAACCTGTGACAATTGACTCAATTATATCAGCGATGAACCGACTACTCCATACATAATCAACTACAAGTGTGAATTTAAACTGACCAAGTCCCATAATGCACCCTGTCACTGAAAGTAAGGGGCTGGGGCTAAACAATAGAAACCAGAGAAACAATAGAGAAGGCAAGCGCAAGGGTGACTGTGCTATTGTATTAGTGAAGCAGGTTAGATTCGAGTGTAGACTAAAACTTAGGTATTAAAATAAGAGGTGACCTTCAAATACACTTGATGATATATACATAATTACATACTACTACATTCTTCCCTCCCCACGGAAATGACGTCTTCGTCATTCTGAGTTTTGGCGTGTTAAAATAGATATAAATGCTTTCGTGATGTCCGGTGTAGTCTGTTCCAATGTTCCAGCGCTCGTTAAATGCTCCAGATAACGAACCCTAACCATCCAATCTGGCTCTACTGCTGCCTGACTAAGCGCATACTGCCCTGAATGCATCTAACTTGGAGGGTGTCGTTCACGTATTGACCTTCGTGGAACAACATCAGCTCCGTCTGTATCTGGAACAGCATCACCTGTGACATCCATCTCGTCAACATGTTCTGCTTCAGCTGAAGGAACTTGATCCAGAACTGTATCATCATCTTTAGTTTCGTCTTCAGCTGAAGGAATGACATCATCTTCGTGTAGATCATTTAAGAGGGACGGTAGAAATGTCCTTCACACAATCGACCAATATGAGGAGGCGGACCCGTGTCTTGACGTGATGAGAGAATGGTAAAACGACCAGGCTACCTACAATCAGTTGTAGTAGCAGTAGTAGCAGTAGTAATATTTGTAGTCGTAGTAGTAGTCGCTGTAGTAGAGTTGACGCATCTGCGACCTAGATATCATGTTCCGGACGCTGATTACATGTGCTGGTTTATGCTGATTGCTTGAGTTGGTATAGATCCGTATGATATAACATATGACAATTTGTTAAGCAAGTATCATGCGTGTTCTGCAATGAGCGCTTGTGCTAGTTAAGATCAATTAGGGCTCTTGTAACATGTATATAGGATTCAGTGATTTGTTCAATACACACTGTATGTTTGTTGTTTAACGCCGTTCTCACCAATATTCCAGCTAAACGACGGTGGTCTGTAAATGATCGAGTTTGGACCAGACAATCCAGTGAATGACATCATGAGCATCGATCTACACAATTGGGATACGATGACATGCATCAACCAAGTCACCGAGCCTGATCTTGTTAGTCGCCTTTCATGACAAGCATGGGTTGCTGAAGACCAATTCTGAAGACCCAGGTCATCACGGGTATCAATGCAAACAATGCGCATTTCAGATGGAACATTCACTAAAGGATAATAGCTTTGGAAACATGAATGTTATCTTTGGTTAGGGTAATTTACCTTTTCATACCATCAACGTAATACGGAGTACATATACAAGAATCCATTGGATCTTGGGGTAGCCTAATAGTCAAAGCGTTCGCTCGTTACGAGGAAGGCCCGGGTTCGATTCCTGACTTGGGTACAATGTGTGAAGCCCTATTCTTGTGGTCCCCGCCATAATATTACTGAAACCGGACGCTTGGTGGAGTCAACGTTTCGTTTCAGTTTTTATCATTGGTTTCTGCAGCGTTTACTCTGTAAAATGCGTCATCATATTTCGACAGCGTGGATTACTGCTCATGCTGTCGACCATTAGTGTTGATTTACTTGCGCCAGAGTCACAATCGTCTCTCAAAAAGGTTATCTAGGCAGCATTGATCCCATACGAAATGAGACTTCATGATATGTTTCACAAGCTCTAAATTATCTTACTTTCAGATCGTATCGGACGAATATCTGAGGCGATTGACAGGTAAGTTGTGGGAAGCAGTATCCTACATGCAAATGTTAAACTGAAATATGTGATGTGATGCTATCTGGTGTTTTAATTTGCGCACCTGAAATTTTGTTCATATTGTCATATCAAATATATCATTAACACTTGGAGCTCAAATGGTTCAGAAGTTTAATGTTTATGATTATAATATAGCCCCTTAGGCGTATCACAAACCTGTGATCGTGGGTTCGAACCCCATATTTACCCTGATTATGTTTCTAGGTTTGTCAGCACCCTTGTCGTCCTCTTGGGTTTTACCAAGGTGGTAAATATCTGAGACCTGCATCACTTCGGGCTTTCCCCCCACATTAAGCCAACGTATATATATAACTGAAACTTAGTTCCATGCGGCATGAAATCAAACCCCCTTACTCACTCAATATAGCAAAGACAGAGACATGACTCACTCACTCAACGAATCCTTTTCGTTTTCAGCAGATGCTCAAATATCATAGATGCACATTTTACCTGTATTATTTGAAACAGGTATGTTTAGTATATCTTGAAAACGATTATACCACTTGGTCTATTTCAGGACGCGAGCCACCCAAGTCAGATAGGGATAGGAGACACGGGCTGAATATCAACAAAGGGTCAACAGGAGCTCATCTTTATATGGTCCCTCAAGCAGGTAACGTATGGCCGAAGAACGGCCTCCCAGAGTGTAGCCTTCCCAGTGAAGTCGGCGGAAATTTCATTACAGATTAACGTATAATGTGAACGTAGAAATACGCTTTTGAAAATATACTGACGTACAAAATATATAATAATAAAGGGGTGTACAAACGGCTAAAGGGGTGTTCCCGAATGTGTGAGATCGATGTTCCCATATGGGTAGAAGAGCGTCCCTGTGTGTGTGAGATCGACGTTCCCACTCGGGTAGAGGAGTGTCCCTGTGTGTGTGAGACCGACGTTCCCACTCGGTTAGAGGGTTATCTCTGTGTGTGTGAGATCGCCGTTCCAACTCGGGTAAAGGGGTGCCCCTGTGTGTGTGAGACCGACGTTCCCCTAGGGTAGAGGAGTGTCCCTCTGTGTGTGTGAGACCGACGTTCCCACTCGAGTAGGGGAGTGTCCTTGTGTGTGTGAGACCGACGTTCCCACACGGGTAGAGGAGTGTCCCTGTGTGTGTGAGACCGACGTTCCCACTCGGGTCCAGGAGCGTCCCTGTGTGTGTGAGACCGACGTTCGCACTCGAGTAGAGGAGTGTCCTTGTGTGTGTGTGTGAGATCGACGTTCCCACTCGAGTAGAGGAGTGTCCCTGTGTGTGTGAGACCGACGTTCCCGCTCGGGTAGAGGAGTGTCCCTCTGTGTGTGTGAGACCGACGTTCCCACTCGAGTAGAGGAGTGTCCCTGGGTGTGTGAGACCGACGTTCGCACTCGAGTAGAAGAGTGTCCCTGTGTGTGTGAGACCGACGTTCCCGCTCGGGTAGAGGAGTGTCCCTCTGTGTGTGTGAGACCGACGTTCCCACTCGAGTAGAGGAGTGTCCCTGGGTGTGTGAGACCGACGTTCGCACTCGAGTAGAGGAGTGTCCCTGTGTGTGTGTGAGATCGATGTTCCCATATGGGTAGAAGAGCGTCCCTCTGTGTGTGTGAGATTGACAATCCCACTCGGGTAGAGGAGCGTCCCTGTGTGTGTGTGAGACCGACGTTCCCACTCGGGTAGAGGAGTGTCCCTGTGTGTGTGAGATCGACGTTCCCACTAAGGTACAGGAGCGTCCCTGTGTGTGTGAGACCAACGTTCGCACTCGGGTAGAGGTGTGTCCCTGTGTGTGTGAGACCGACGTTCGCACTTGGGTAGAGGAGTGTTCCTGTGTGTGTGAGATCGCCGTTCCAACTCGGGTAAAGGGGTGCCCCTGTGTGTGTGAGACCGACGTTCCCACTCGGGTAGAGGAGTGTCCCTCTGTGTATGTGAGACCGACGTTCCCACTCGGGTAGAGGAGCGTCCCTGTGTGTGTGAGATCGACGTTCCCACTCGGGTAGAGGAGTGTCCCTGTGTGTATGAGATCGACGTTCCCACTCGGGTAGAGGAGTGTCCCTGTGTGTGTGAGACCGACGTTCCCACTCGGGTAGAGGAGTGTCCCTCTGTGTATGTGAGACCGACGTTCCCACTCGGGTAGAGGAGCGTCCCTGTGTGTGTGAGATCGACGTTCCCACTCGGGTAGAGGAGTGTCCCTGTGTGTATGAGATCGACGTTCCCACTCGGGTAGAGGAGTGTCCCTGTGTGTGTGAGACCGACGTTCCCACTCGGGTAGAGGAGTGTCCCTGTGTGTGTGAGATCGACGTTCCCACTCGGGTAGAGGGGTATCTGTGTGTGTGAGACCGACGTTCCCACTCGAGTAGAGGAGCGTCCCTGTGTGTGTGAGATCGACGTTCCCACTCGGGTAGAGGAGGGTCCCTGTGTTTGTCAGACCGACGTTCCCACTCGGGTAGAGGAGTGTCCCTGTGTGTGTGTGAGATCGACGTTCCCACTCAGGTAGAGGAGCGTCCCTGTGTGTGTGAGACCGACGTTCGCACTTGGGTAGAGGAGTGTTCCTGTGTGTGTGAGATCGCCGTTCCAACTCGGGTAAAGGGGTGCCCCTGTGTGTGTGAGACCGACGTTCCCACTCGGGTAGAGGAGTGTCCCTCTGTGTGTGTGAGACCGACGTTCCCACTCGGGTAGAGGAGCGTCCCTGTGTGTGTGAGATCGACGTTCCCACTCGGGTAGAGGAGTGTCCCTGTGTGTGTGAGATCGTCGTTCCCACTCGGGTAGAGGAGTGTCCCTGTGTGTGTGAGACCGACGTTCGCACTTGGGTAGAGGAGTGTTCCTGTGTGTGTGAGACCGACGTTCGCACTCGGGTAGAGGAGTGTCCCTGTGTGTGTGAGATCGACGTTCCCACTCAGGTAGAGGAGCGTCCCTGTGTGTGTGAGACCGACGTTCGCACTTGGGTAGAGGAGTGTTCCTGTGTGTGTGAGATCGCCGTTCCAACTCGGGTAAAGGGGTGCCCCTGTGTGTGTGAGACCGACGTTCCCACTCGGGTAGAGGAGTGTCCCTCTGTGTGTGTGAGACCGACGTTCCCACTCGGGTAGAGGAGCGTCCCTGTGTGTGTGAGATCGACGTTCCCACTCGGGTAGAGGAGTGTCCCTGTGTGTGTGAGATCGTCGTTCCCACTCGAGTAGAGGAGCGTCCCTGTGTGTGTGTGATCGACGTTCCCACTCGGGTAGAGGAGTGTCCCTGTGTGTGTGAGACCGACGTTCCCACTCGGGTAGAGGAGTGTCCCTGTGTGTGTGAGACCGTCGTTCCCACTCGGGTAGAGGAGTGTCCCTGTGTGTGTGAAATCGACGTTCCCACTCGAGTAGAGGAGTGCCCCTCTGTGTGTGAGACCGACGTTCCAACTCGGGTAGAGGGGTGTCTCTGCGTGTGTGAGACCGACGTTCCCACTCGGGTAGAGGAGCGTCCCTGTATGTGTGAGACCGACGTTCCCACTCGGGTAGAGGAGCGTCCCTGTGTGTGTGAGACCGACGTTCCCACTCGGGTAGAGGAGCGTCCCTGTGTGTGTGAGATCGACGTTCCCACTCGGGTAGAGGAGTGTCCCTGTGTGTATGAGATCGACGTTCCCACTCGGGTAGAGGAGTGTCCCTGTGTGTGTGTGAGACCGACGTTCCCACTCGGGTAGAGGAGTGTCCCTGTGTGTGTGAGATCGACGTTCCCACTCGGGTAGAGGAGTGTCCCTGTGGGTATGAGATCGATGTTCCCACTCGGGTAGAGGAGTGTCCCTGTGTGTGTGAGACCGACGTTCCCACTCGGGTAGCGGTGTGTCCCCGTGTGTGTCTGAGACCGACGTTCCCACTCGAGTAGAGGAGTGTCCCTGTGTGTGTGAGACCGACGTTCCCACTCGGGTAGAGGAGTGTCCCTGTGTGTGTGAGATCGACGTTCCCACTCGGGTAGAGGGGTATCTGTGTGTGTGAGACCGACGTTCCCGCTCGAGTAGAGGAGCGTCCCTGTGGGTGTGTGATCGACGTTCCCACTCGAGTAGAGGAGTGCCCCTCTGTGTGTGAGACCGACGTTCCAACTCGGGTAGAGGGGTGTCTCTGTGTGTGTGAGACCGACGTTCCCACTCGGGTAGAGGAGCGTCCCTGTGTGTGTGAGACCGACGTTCCCACTCGGGTAGAGGAGCGTCCCTGTGTGTGTGAGATCGACGTTCCCACTCGGGTAGAGGAGTGCCCCTGTGTGTGAGAGACCGACGTTCCCACTCGGGTAGAGGGGTGTCTCTGTGTGTGTGAGACCGACGTTCCCACTCGGGTAGAGGAGCGTCCCTGTGTGTGTGAGACCGACGTTCCCACTCGGGTAGAGGAGCGTCCCTGTGTGTGTGAGATCGACGTTCCCACTCGGGTAGAGGAGTGTCCCTGTGTGTATGAGATCGACGTTCCCACTCGGGTAGAGGAGTGTCCCTGTGTGTGTGAGACCGACGTTCCCACTCGGGTAGAGGAGTGTCCCTGTGTGTGTGAGATCGACGTTCCCACTCGGGTAGAGGGGTATCTGTGTGTGTGAGACCGACGTTCCCACTCGAGTAGAGGAGCGTCCCTGTGTGTGTGAGATCGACGTTCCCACTCGGGTAGAGGAGCGTCCCTGTGTGTGTCAGACCGACGTTCCCGCTCGGGTAGAGGAGCGTCCCTGTGTGTGTGTGAGATCGACGTTCCCACTCAGGTAGAGGAGCGTCCCTGTGTGTGTGAGACCAACGTTCCCACTCGGGTAGAGGTGTGTCCCTGTGTGTGTGAGACCGACGTTCGCACTTGGGTAGAGGAGTGTTCCTGTGTGTGTGAGATCGCCGTTCCAACTCGGGTAAAGGGGTGCCCCTGTGTGTGTGAGACCGACGTTCCCACTCGGGTAGAGGAGTGTCCCTCTGTGTGTGTGAGACCGACGTTCCCACTCGGGTAGAGGAGTTTCCCTGTGTGTGTGAGATCGACGTTCCCACTCGGGTAGAGGAGTGTCCCTGTGTGTGTGAGACCGACGTTCCCACTCGGGTAAAGGAGTGTCCCTGTGTGTGTGAGACCGACGTTCCCACTCTGGTAGAGGAGTGCCCCTATGTGTGTGAGACCGACGTTCCCACTCGGGTAGAAGGGTGTCTCTGTGTGTGTGAGACCGACGTTCCCACTCGGGTAGAGGAGCGTCCCTGTGTGTGTGAGACCGACGTCCCCACTCGGGTAGAGGAGCGTCCCTGTGTGTGTGAGATCGACGTTCCCACTCGGGTAGAGGAGTGTCCCTGTGTGTATGAGATCGACGTTCCCACTCGGGTAGAGGAGTGTCCCTGTGTGTGTGAGACCGACGTTCCCACTCGGGTAGAGGAGTGTCCCTGTGTGTGTGAGATCGACGTTCCCACTCGGGTAGAGGGGTATCTGTGTGTGTGAGACGGACGTTCCCACTCGAGTAGAGGAGCGTCCCTTTGTGTGTGAGATCGACGTTCCCACTCGGGTAGAGGAGCGTCCCTGTGTGTGTCAGACCGACGTTCCCGCTCGGGTAGAGGAGTGTCCCTGTGTGTGTGTGAGATCGACGTTCCCACTCAGGTAGAGGAGCGCCCCTGTGTGTGTGAGACCAACGTTCCCACTCGGGTAGAGGTGTGTCCCTGTATGTGTGAGACCGACGTTCGCACTTGG